CCCCAAAACCCCAAAACCCCAAAACCCCGGGTTAAGAGGACTTGATTGGATATTTGGGTTTAATAGTAGATAGGTTGTAGAAGGAATAGAAGGGAGATGAAAGGGATTTTAGAGGATTTTTTTAGGAATAGAGAGCTACTTTTGGGGAGCGGGAGGTGCGGCTATGTTGTTAGGTGGGTTGTTTTGATGGGGTGGATAGGGGGGGTTTTCAAAGGGTACCATTACTGAGTTCGCATACTGTGGATGCTGATTCATATGAGCCTGGGAATAATTCATGTTGGCTACAGGTAAGAAAGGGCTTACTAAGTTGGTAGGAGGTATTGGCTCCAGGGGCAGGTTGCATTTGAGCTGTCTGGTTCCCTGCATATTGATTCATTGGTTGGTTGCCCGTATAATTGTTGTTAAAGTTTGGATCATTGGGGTATACGTTTGGCTGAGGCTGAGGCTGATCTGGACTAACTTTGCTATTAGTATGAACAGCTCCTTTGCTTTTACCACTTCACATTGATCAAATCAGCAAGCTTGTCCCAATGCATCAAACAAGGAAACAGATACCAAGGATAATACCCAAGACAATCCAGATTGTGTTTGAGCTGCTATATCATTACTTTGATGCTTACGATTCAGAATCATCTGAAGAAGAGGAGGAGGAGGAGGAAGAGTATTTAGAAGCCTTGAGATAGATATCAAAACCATTATAAGAACTTGAAGGCTCCGCAACAATGTAGACGTTATTGTCATCGTCAAAGGTCACATTCTTCTTCTCTCCACTGTACAGCCAATCATTGTAGGAGTACTTGTTCTGGCCGCTGGGTCCAGTGTACACGGTCAGGTTGGTATTTGTTCTGCTCGCTATTTGGAGAGTCATTAGAGCGAAATATCTGGAGTTATAAAAGGAAATCAAAGAAGACTCAATACGTTGGGGGAATATTGATGCTTAAGAAATGAGGGAAAGATGAATTAACCATGGTGGTATACTAAGGATTAAAGAAATTAGAGATCGAGTGATAATGGTGCAGGAAAGCTATACTAGCTTTATAAAGCCTCCAGTGTGTCTGTAGTTTTATACAACGACAAAGTTGATGAATAGCTAACAATATATACACTTCTCTTAGTCGTTGATATGAGGAGAGTTGCTATTTATTCAATGGTATACTTTTTAGAAGAACTCATTCCTTAGCAAATTTTGTAACTTTGGGAAGATGACTATCCTTGCTTTTCTCCATTATACATGCTCATAGACTATTTCTATGGCTACTTTTTCAAAGATTAGCGCTTTACCTTTTGATAATAGCTTCAAAATATTAAGAAACCGACAAAACAATGAAAAAAATTTTGTTTAAAATTTTCTTATTATAGTCTTTGAAAGCCAAAGTTAGAGGTATATGTAGCAAAGATAGCTAAATATTATATCCAAGACCCTTGGAAAGCCTCATCTGTTAATATAAGCCATGAAGCTTCTTTGTTTATTCTTCGAATGTCCAAATATTTTAGGGTGAAATTAAAAATCAGAAACTAAGCTGAAAACTTTAAAGTTCTTACAAACATAGATTTCGAGACTTTTGATGGAACTGTTGCTTGTTTGAACTATATAGCTGCACACAGAACTCGAATCAATGTAGGTATTAGACAGAGTGTAATTTATTCCGGTGTAGTATATTGTTTTTGTTCTCGAGTTGCAATCACTTGAACTATATGGGCACAGTATGAGCCCTCCATTACCGCCAATATTACTTGAGTTCGAACAAACGTAGCTACTGCTACCTGAGCAATAGCCAGAGTAATCCCAAGAATAGCATCAGTCTCCATAGTATTGATAATTCCCAGTTATGGAACACCATCTTTGTGAAGAGCTTTTGACTCAGGTTCTGCAGGTTGAGCGACTTGAAGTGGACAAGTCTCTATCTAGATTCAGCTCTGTGGCATAGCTTAATGCAAACAATGTTATTATAAGCAGGAACATCTACAACTAATTGTTTCAAAACTCTCAGCTATAAATGGGGTTTTGGGGTTTTGGGGTTTTGGGGTTTTGGGG